ATGGTTTTATTTTAATAAAATTTTGTATAAGTACTTAATGAAGCATAATAAGTAAATGATAAAAATTTCAAACTGCACTGCTTTTAAGCCCTTTGACCTTTAATAATGTGTGGATGCACCCTGATGTGCTACGCATTCTCCAACGCGCCTAGGCATGCTTCTGATCAGGTGGTCAATGTCCTCCTGTGGTATCTCATTCCAGGCAACCACCAACTCCTTTCGAAGTGCTTCTAGAGTCTGAGAAGGACGTTGCATATTGAGCAATCTCCTACCCATCATATCCCACACGTGCTCAATTGGGGATAAGTCGGGAGATCTTGGTGGCCATGGTAACAATGTGACATCATTATGTTGAAAGAAGTCTATTGTGACTCTTGCAATATGTGGTCGGGCATTATCTTGTTGGAAAGATGGATATGCCAGGGTGTCAAGATAGGGTAAAAGATGGGGTTCTAGAACTTCGTGGATATAACGCTGCGCGTTCATGTTACCTCTGATGAAGATTAAAGGTGATATGGAACCATAAGCTATAGCACCCCAAACCATAACTCCAACAGTGTGATGAACATGTCTTTCAACAAAAAACTGTGGATTCCTCCTTTCACCACGTCGCCTTCTAACCCTGGCACGACCATCGTGCATGCCTAAACAAAATCGAGACTCGTCACTAACGACAATACTGTTCCATTCCTGATCCCAGAGTGACCGTTGTCTGCACCACTCAAGGCGATTACGTCGGTGTTCTCGAGTTAAAGGGGGGACCCAGTGTGGCCGGTAAGAAAACAAGCCAAAACTTCTCATTCGTCGGTAAACACTTCGCATGCCAATAGGTCTTCCGTGTTCTGCAAACCATTCATTTGCAATGGACCCGGTAGTGGAGAAACGGTCCCTTAAGGCCAATAATCTTAGGCGGCGATCTTCACGGTCTGTTGTTCTACGGCGGCGTCCAGTGCCCCTTGCTCTTTGCGTACGGCCTTCTCGAAGCCATGCCTGACAACACCTAACCACAGTGTCTACACTTCTTTGCACTCTAACTGCAATTGCCCGAAAAGAAAGTCCAGCTTCCCGAAGTCCCACTATACGGCCCCTATCAAACTCACTAAGTTGACGAAATCGTACAGGTCTCCGTACTCTAGGCATCGTAACCGATCGTAAAGGATGTCAAGAACCAAAATCCGCCAACGTTGATTCTTTACTGCGGCTGAAATATTCATTTTTAGAACGTTAGTGAATTAAAAAAAAGCAATATAAAAACCGGAATGTTCAACTGATAAGGCTGAAAATTTTTTCACTTGTTACTTACATTAAGATAAATACATTCACCAACTTTTATTAAAATAAAATCATTTAAACTGGGTGTTCGGATTTATATGTCACTTAGTATAAGTGCATGAGAATAATACTAAATAAAGATAAATATACTCCAATTAGGCAAATGCTTAGCAAATTAAAATGGCTCGATGTAAAAAATTTTATCAAATATCTTGTAATGATATTCATTTATAAAGTAAAAAATAATATATTTCCATCAAGTCTAATTAATTTAACATCATCAAATGTCGACCATCATTTACATAATACCAGAAATAAAGATGACTTCCATTTAATGACCAAAAAGTATAACATATGCTACAAATCTGTATTCCATCAAGGGTTGATTGAATATAATAAATTATACTCGGAGATAAAAGACCAGAAAACTTTGACAAAATTTAAAGTAAAATTGAGAAATCACTTGTTAAATCTACAATTATAGGTTGCCCAGCATTTACATCATACACCATATGGCTTGAATTTACTAGTTCTAAGTTGTTTACAATTATTCTGTTTATGTAGCCAAATGTGCTAAGTAAATCTTTCTATTACTACTACTACTACTACTACTGAAAATTTTAAATGACAAGGGGTATCGAGTGATAGCTTGTCATTCGAAGCCCTTCATTTTGACGTTTGACTTTTTTTTAAATCGGTCGATTCGTTTTCAAGAAAATTAGAAAAATCTTTGTCTACCTTATTTTTTCCAGATAGGACACAAAAACACACGAAAATATCACTCATTAAGTGTTCGAAATGTTGCCCGTTATTAGCCAAACAGTGATATAGGCGATGAATTAGAATCATTTCCACTCTTTCGGCTAGTGTGTAAACCATCCTGCAAAAAACTGATACTTTTTTCTGTCTGATTAAGAATACAGCCAACCATGGACAGCCGTTTCGTGCTTCATGGCTGATCATCAGCATGGTCTAGGCTTGGTCTCTTGTCTGTGGCCAAACGAACGAAAGCATCGCAATTATCCGCTATCGAAATAAGACAGCGCAAAGCGCCATCTATCACACCAGAATCGACCACTGCGCAAAGCGCATAGCTGCAATTTGTTGGATCTGTTAGGAATCGCGGTTCACGTTTAATAGCCCAGTCACCACGTGACCGCTAGATTGCTGACGATTCTGGCTGTAAAGTAGATGTGTATGACTTTGGTGTACAGTATATTCAGATAAGAGATAGACCGGACATAAACAAGACCACGTGATCATCGAACGCTGTAACATTCGGCAGGGACGTATTAAGAGTCACGCAGTACATATTTTAGATAGTACCGAATTTGATGAACGACATCTTTTATTGGAAAGATGAGCTTGATGAGCTTTCATCATCGCTACTGCCTGAAGCACCAACGTCAATAATGAATGGCTCGACTTGTTCCTCTAAAATATTGTCCAGTTCCCACATTCTCTTTTCAACTTTGTCTTTCACGTGCTTAATACAGTTTTCCCATTTTTGCGCTGTTATTAATTCTAGTGCTTCTTTGAAAAGTCCTTTGAGGTCACAAAATTTAAAAGTTGTATTGCCTAGCTATATAATTTTTAACCTCTGCCCATATGAGCTCAATGGGATTGAGCTCGCAATGGTATGGAGGTAAACGGAGCACAGTTTTGTTTTGACTTGCTGCCATTTCGTCAATGGCGTATTTTTGATATTCCGCCTTGTGATCCTTGACAATTCTTAATAATTGTACTTTCAGCATTGCTTCTTCAAAGTTGATATTTTTCGAGCGGAGCCAATTTTGAACATCAACTTTTCTTGAAGCCGTTGTTGGGACCTTCTCCATTCTTCGAGAATGATAAGGCGCATTATCCAACACAATTACTGCGTTTTCCTCTAAGTTCGGTAAAATTTTTGAAAACCACTGTTCAAACGATTCGCCATTCATTTCCTCGCGGTAATCTCCAGTTTTCTTAGACTCAAAGCACCACAGACCGTCAACAACAAATCCATCCTCACTGCCAATATGGCAGATAATGAGCCTTTTCCCTTTACCTGGAAATCGAAGTTCTAACTGGTGTAGATTTATTTCAATAAGCGAACCTTTTTCAAATGTTTTCATTACATTCAGCGAAAAAACATTGAGACATGAGTATCAGATTGCTATAATTGGGATTATTTAGTCATATTGAAAGAAAGAATATTGAACGTCGTATGATTACTCAGCGCTTCACAATTTAATTTAAAGTTATAAACCTTTAAAAAATGAATGATCAGGAACCTGAAATACGCGCAAATATTAATATTAACAAATTATAACTTTATAAAGCTTAAAGTATGAATTAAAATGATTAGAAATATTAGGAACGGTACACAATATAAAACTTTTTTTAAGTTTATAATATTCGACATATTTTAAGATTATATTAAAAAATTATTGAAATATCGAAAACACATAAAAACATGGCTTAAAAAAGTTCTAACAAATGAAAATGACAATAAAACATCCACGCATTTTATCGAAAGTTATAAAAGTTTTGTTACTTGTAATATGTTTTATCTGCCCCCTGGAATTAATGTTTAGAACCTTGTTCCCAAGGTTTTAAAAACATCCGATTGTTGTCTATTACTCGTATTTACCTGCTGGATTTTTTAATCCAGTGGACAGTCCATCTAGAAAGGCCCTCCTGGATGAAGTTACAGAATCATCAACCCATACTTTACTTGTAGTGTGTCCTGCGTTTACCCACGTTTCATCAAGGTAATAAATCTTCCTGTTTTGATTTCTATATTTCCCAATTTTTGTTAAATAATCCCTCCTCCATAGCACAATTTCTTCTCTATCCAGTAGTAAACTATTACGACCCCGTTTTTTCCATTTGAAATTTAAATGCTTCAGTAACGCATGGAAAGTTGATCGTTTGAAATTTGGCAACGTTGTATCTCCATTTACCTCCTGCAATACTTTATCTATAGTAGGTATTTCATTCCTAAAGAAGAATTCATGCACTTTCCTCCTAATCGCATGCTTATCAGCTTCATCCAATGATTTAACAATACTTTTGCGATGTTTACTGGTCATTGGCTCAGAAAAGGTGTGATTTTTTTTGTATTGTCTTAACACATTAAACACTGATGCGCGACACACCCCAACTTTGTGAGAAACCTTCACAACAATTTCTTTGATGGTTGATGCCTCGTTCTCCTCGCGCTCGATCTTATATATATTCAAAATGACCTCTTTCATTTCTGCACTCAGGTGCCTTTTTTTAGAGCGTTTCCTAGGTGGACTACAGGAGTTTACAACTTCATCGGCAGTATCTGTACTACTGGGCATTTTGCGCAAGCAGTTGATAACAATAACAAGGTATAACAATAACAACGACAAACTCAACAACTTAATAAGATAACAAACGAAAACGTCCAAAGAAATATCACATTGCAATGATGCACACGACATACGTAACACGTCTGAACCTGAATGTGACTCTGCCTTGATACGACTGCTCTGCCGCTCGGCATAGGCATTTAATTGCGAATTGACCAATGAGGGCTCCTGTTTTACGTCGAGACGGCGGCGTTAGCGTGAAAATCACCCGAACCTTTTGTTTACATCCGGTCTATCTCTTATCTGAATATACTGTAGGTATGTGCTACTAGGAAAATTTACTTGTTTTCCCAGAAACTATGCACTATGCAAAGTTATAACTTTAAAACACCTTGTATTTTGTTTCAGGATCCAAAACTCCGGCAGATCGTCACGATGGGATCCCAAGATACTTTAGAAGAGAAGACCATCACTGTGTGCTGTGCCAACGACTTCGTCAACCTCACATTCATCAATTTTTGCTGCACGAAGAAGGAGATCGCCAGACTATGGACGGACGCGATCTTGAGCCTCGCTTACAATCTCAACCAGATCACTGGCACTCCGAAAATGTACCTGTTCAAAGCTTACACCAAACTCAATCTCATCAGGGATAAGACGGGTAATGTTCCTGTTAAAAAGTAAGTATATAAGTTTTGTTATTTTTTTTCCTAAAAACAAAGTGATCGACGATGAGGTTATGTACTGTTAGCACATATTCAGGGCCTATGGCTACAATAATTGTAATTCAGGTCACAAATGTCGCACGCAATGTGTCGCAATCAATAACGATCAATCCAATATTACCACTATTCCGTCAGGAGTTCCGCAAGGCTCAATTTTGGGACCTGTGCTCTTTTTGATTTACACGTGTGACCTGCATAAAGCAGTTGATGATTCAGGGATACAAACATTTGCTGACGATACTCAAATAATATTCCATTTCGACGCCTCAGATACGCAAAATTCATCAGACATTTTACAGCTTGATTTAGATAAGGTACATCAGTTTTCTATGGAACATAATCTTGCTATTAATCCAGATAAGACACAAGTGTTATTGTTTTGTTCTGATCAGAAGAGGAAAACTGTCGAAGATTCTTTCCATCTGACTATTGATGGCATAACATTACAGCATACTCAAACAGCTAAGGTACTAGGAGTGGAAATTGACACAAAATTAAGATTCCGCAGCCAAATAGCTAATTTGATGAAAAAAACTTGCCTGTGTTCTAGGGCTCTTCATTCCAATCGCTACTTGCTTAACTTTAAGCTGAGAAAAAAAGTGTGCGAATCGTTGGTGATGTCAATGCTCAGTTACTGTGATGTCGTTTATTATCCATGTTTGGATCAATTGACCAAAAATCGTCTTCAAATCATCCAAAATAACTGTGTTCGCTTTATTTATGGTTTGCGTAGATACGGTCACGTAAGTGATAAATATAGGGAATTGAACTGGCTTAGGTTAGGAGGTTTGGTTAAACATAAATTCTTAGTTTTAGTTCATAAAATAATATTGTCATCAAAGCCTGAATATCTAAGAGCTAAATTAAGATTTAATTACGAAGTGCATGACATGGCTGTTAGGAATCGTTATAGTGTCAGAACCACCCCACACACTTCTGCATTATTCCAACGAGGATTTACATATAATGCAGCACTATTTTATAATATTATTAAATTGATGTCTTTGGAAAGTTTTCGTAAACATACTAATACATGTTGCTCGCTATTGATTAAATAAGCATTTCTGCTACAGATATAGATTGTGTCTATTTGTATTTTATACTTAGGTATATATGTGTTCTTTTTTTTCATTGTTCTTATATATTTTTTTTCCATGTTTTGAACATCAGATGTAACCGACATAAACAGTTAAGTGTAAGAGTAGCCTTGGCAAAACTTCGCTGTTTATGTCCCTCCGGGTTATCCAATAAAGACGTTATTATTATTATTATTATTTAAATACTCTTCATCTTTGGACTTGAAAATATTCTATTAAATCTAATTGGAAAAATCTACACCGTGTGATGATCTTTTAGTTCCCATCACTAGTAATTTCAATTTTTTTTAGAGCCTGTAATTTGAAGAGTATGATTGTGATTACCCCCCGTTTCCAGCTTGTCGTCGAGTTCTGGGATACCCTGTATACAGGGTGTTCATTAATGATATGCGAATATTTAAGGGTGTGAATCTACATGAAATATTAATGTTAGTTTGCTTTATAAACTATGGTCCAAAAATGTTACAAAAACTCGGGGTGTTGAAGTTTTAGGAAAAAATGGAAATTAATTAATATTTTCAGAACCGCTTCAGATATTTCACTGATATTTGGTACGTAGTGAAAGTTAATAAAGTTGCATATTTTTCAATGCAAAAATAATTTTTAGCTTTAACAGTGGCGTGCGTACGGGTATTGACTTCTATATTTTTTAAGAAAAAAATGGTACACCAATGGTTTTTTGCCAAATTAAAATTATTTTTGAATTCCCCGTTCAATTTAAAACGTATGATCTCTCGATCTTATCGACCCGGATAGCCAGTGAAACAAGCAAGTAAACAAGAAACAAGTTCACAAGTGCAGGCGGCAGGCAAGAATCCACGCCATATTCACAGAAGTTCAACGCAATCAGCAATACAAGTGGAAGACAGAAATCCACGCAGGTACCCATTTACCATTTTTGACCTTAACCAGAAAATCTGTTCGGTATAGACAATTTTTCAATTACGACAGTTTCTCATGAAATGTACATACAATACATTGAACAAAAACATAAATGTAATCAATAAAATACAGTCCACTATACACAGCATTCGAAATAAAAATAAATAAGGCCCGGGGCATGTATGTGCTACGCCAATGGCAAAATGGGTTTCGACCAGATCCCGCAGGAGCGCGCCACCATCCAGCGCGCAGCCTACCACTGCCGACCGGAAGACCGTTGAATTTTGAACGGTCCAATGGGATGCCTTCCTCTCGGCGCGACCAGGAGAGAGGCCGGAAGAAGCTACCATTTTGACGATAACCAGAAAATCTGTTCGGTATAGACAATTTTTCAATTACGACAGTTTCTCATGAAATGTACATACAATACATTGAACAAAAACATAAATGTAATCAATAAAATACAGTCCACTATACACAACATTTGGTAAAATAAATATTATTTTTATTTGGCGAAAAACCATTGGCGTACTATTTTTTTCTTAAAAAATATCGAAGTCAATACCCGTACGCACGCCACTGTTAAAGCTAAAAATTAGTTTTGCATTGAAAAATATGCAACTTTATTAACTTTCACTACATACTAAATATCAGTGAAGTGGTTCTGAAAATATTAATTAATTTAATTTTTTTTTCCCTAAAACTTCAACACCCCGAGTTTTTGTAAGGAAACATTTTTGGACCACAGTTTATAAAGCAAACTAACATTAATTTTTCATACATATTCACGCCCTTAAATATTCGCATATCAAGGAATAAATACCCTGGTATGAGATCAAATTTTCGCAATTATTTTCTGATTGTCAAGAAACATGTTATATCACCATTCTCTAGAAGCAATACTTTGTTTTAAATTCAGAAAGTATGGTAAGGTAATAATTTTGGTACTCAACACATTATTTACTTCAAATCTTCAAATGCCGTTAATTGGCCCAAATATGGCTGCAGAATCTTCAAAATTCTTCCCATTACGCCTTGTCAGCAGTGATTCCGCTATACAGTGTTTCATTGGGAGCGAGAAATATTCTCACCATGGTTATGGGTCAATAAGCGCCTATCCTCAAGTATTTTACTTGATCACCACAATTAAATTAAAATTTGATTGTGCTATTAATGAATAATCTGGAGACACCTCATCTATCAAAATCCATGAAGCCATTTGGCCTATAGTAGCCGGTAAAATAAAAATGTTGGTACAGTGGACCTCCGACAAACATTATGCGGACTATCGAATTTGTCGGATTATAGATCACTGCCTAAGACCCCCTATAGTCCGGAATTTTTTACAAAATAATTCCTTGTAATCCAACAAATTACATATCCAATGGTAAGATTATATATGTTATGTATATGTATGTACTTTGAAGTATAAATCATACATAGTTTATGTATGTCGAATTTAATAAATTAAGTAACAATAGAGAGCTTACGTTTTATTATAAAATTGAGCATAAATGCACATACATATATACCAAAATAATCAAGAATTATTAATCAAAATCATTAATGAATTTATCAAATTATGAAGCTTGGAAATATTCATCATTTTTTTGTTTAAGGTTGTTATAACGCGATATCAGAGCGTTGTCCCTCAGTCTTCTCAAAAGTAAAAGTTCGTTGTAGGACGTAGGGCGTTAATTGCGTCTTGTGCTGTGACTTGTGGAGCAGTTGCAATCACGTCGTCGTTATTTTCCTGATTGTTTGTTGTATAATTAGAAACCTCTTTTATAATCTCTTCGTCAGACATTTCATGAAAAACATTTTCCTCTTTATCCATTCCACGGCAGCAAATTTCCAAATCTTCCGGACTTATCTGTGTTATGTGTGTCAGTAGCGACTTGTTCTATAACTTCAGAAGTAACACTGATTTGTGGAACGTTGCTAGGAGTGGTGACTATATCTGGCCATAACTTTTTCCAAGACGATTTGATAGTTGATGACGGTAACGCATTCCACGACTGGCAAAGAGCAAAAACCAAGTCTTTCATATTAAATTCTTTTAAAGTTTTTTCTATTGGTTGGTCTTTTGATACGGCTCTAAGAAGTAGGTTTTCCTTATAGTCTTGCTTGACAATCTGAATGATATTCTGGTCCGTTGGTTGAATCAGTGCAGTGCAATTTGGCGGAAGAAACATCACAGTGATGCATTTATCCTCAGTTGTTAGTTCTTCTTCAGACGGATAACCGGGAGCGTTATCAAGAAGCAAGAACGCTTTTTGATGAAAATTATGATCTTTCAACCATTTTCTAACTTCAGGTACGAAGCATTCATCGAACCACTTTTGGAAAAGGTCTTTTGTCATCCATGCACTTTTTTGTCCGTAATAGTGTACAGGTAAATCAATGTTTTTTAATGCCCGTGGTTTATTAGATTTCCCAATTACCATCATCTTAAGCGCGTGTGTGCCCGCAGCATTAGCACATGGTAGTATGGTTACACGCACTTTACTTACTTTTCGTCCAGGTACGGATTTTTCGTTACAAGAAATGAAAGTTTTGTTAGGCATCACACTCCAAAAAAGCCCTGATTCGTCTGCATTGTACACCTGTGACGGGTCAAGATTTAAGTTGTTCACCTTATGGAAAAATCTTAATTTAAAGGGTTCTATGCAGGAGGCATCGTTAGAAAATTTCTTGTAATAGTCATTAAACGTATGCCATGACGACTTTTAAAACGTTCTAGCTATCCTTTGCTGGCCACAAAATCATCTTTTTTTGTTATTTCCTTATAAAAAAACTTAGCTTTCATGGCCAACATGGGTCCTGAAATTGGTGCATGCCTATTTATTTCCTGAAGAAACCACATGTACAAAGCTTCTGCCACTTCTGGATGTTCAGCTTTCTTGAGTGTCTGTCGCTTGCCTGGCCCGCAGTCAGTAGTTGACACGAACTTTTTGATCTTCTCGTGGTTTGTTTTAATGTCATAAATTGTAGATCGGCCTACGCCGTATTCACTTGCTAAACTACTGAAAGTTTCATTGCGATTTAAGCGGTCTAAAATATCACATTTTTCTTTAATTGTCAATGTTTTGTGCTTTCGCTTCTGAGTTTGTGATGACGTTACTAGGTACTATACTTAATACACAATGAATAAGTAGTAAACAATGAACGCACGCTAGGCCGTACCGCTATCACAAGTAGTCAAATTCAAACTAAGTAAAACAATGCTTACGCGTCGAGCACGATAGCGGTGGCGCGTACAAGTTGTAACCTGTTCAAACCTGCGTGATCTACATTAGCTAAGATTGTCAAATAAGTATGTATGTAATACATATTAAAAGACATGTCGGATTAAAGGGGGCGCCGGATTAGACAGGGGCCGGATTATCGGGGGTCCGCTGTATACAAGCACGTAGCCACGTGCGAAAAACATCACCCTCCTTCTGAGGCAGTCAGATAACAACCGACAAATGGAAGCGTCATTTCATTTAACTCTCCACTTCTAAGATTCGAGTTTTCCGCGATTACCAGTTTAATTGTGAAAATGGTATTTGGTAGAATTGGATGCTGCTTGTACGAAATAGATGTGCTGCACAGGAAATGAGCAAAAGATGTTAGTTTCCTTGACGTTGTATCTTGTTGAGCTTAAACTGAGAACAATAAATTCATATTCTTGGCTCACGTTTGTTAATAGGATTTTGCTGTGCTCAAGTTTGTTACTATACTACAACTATTTAAAACTGTAGTGACTCATACGCGTGATCAACACGTGATCAGATCTCGATACCGGCTTCCTTCCAGTACAGCCGTATAGCGTACGACATATGTCGTTTCTGTGGCTTTGCGGTGGTCAACAGCACAGACAGAGATGGAAATAATGGCTGATTGTTCTCCGCCGGTAGAACCAATGAAATCAAAGACGCGCCTCGACCGGCAAACTCATAGGCGTCGGCAACGCATTGGAACGTGTTTCGTTGAGCGATCGCATATTGTGAGTTTTTATAAGAATTGTTGTGTGATTGTTATTGTTGTGGTTTCTGTGGTTACTGTTTTGGTTATACTTAACCATGGAGAGTACAAATGGCACGAGTTTAAGTACTGAAAGCCAGGGAACAAGTAGACGGCTTCGTAAAGCACTGAAGAGGGACGCGAAAGAAATCGGGCTCAACGTGTTCAATTATCTGAACAGAACTATGTCGCAGGGAGATGCACTTGCGCGTTGTGAAAGTATGACAGGTGTTCTAGAGTGGACCATTCGCAGGGTGGTGTATGAAAAGAAGAAAACTGGAGCGACTACTGATCCAAAGTTTAATTTGCAGGGACGAAAGGCCGTTAAATTGGATGACGATAGCAAAATGGCGTTAAGGCGAACCGTACATTCATTCTTCTTTAGGAATGAGATACCAACCCTCAAGGCTGTACATGCGGCGATCAAGGAAAATGAAATTATACCCCAAATGAGCGTCGAGGTAATGAGGAAATCCCTGCACGAAATTAATTTTCGTTGCGAAACGCGTAATCGGAAGTCAGTATTGATAGAGAGACCTGAAATAGTCGCCTGGCGTCGAAAATACCTACGCGAAATGATTGAATATAGGCGACAAAGCAGAAATATCTATTATTTGGACGAGACATGGGTAAATGCAGGTCACACAGTTAAAAAAACCTGGATAGACAAAAACGTAGTGAGTAACCGACAAGCAAGCATTGAAGGTTTGTCAACAGGTCTTCGTGGACCATCAGGGAAAGTTCAAAGATTGATCGTAACTCATATTGGTAGCGATAGTGGCTTTTTAGAAGAGTGTGACTTGATTTTCGTCCCTAAGAAAGGAGGTGATTACCATGACGAAATGAATGCCAGCTGCTTCGAGAGCTGGTTTCAAGGGGTGCTTCAGCGAGTTGAGCCCAACCCTGTGATCGTCATGGATAATGCTTCCTACCATTGTCGTCGAGCCGAACGTGTACCGGCTATGGCATCTCGAAAAAGTGACATGCAGCAATGGTTGCGCGAAAAAGGAATCCCGTTTGACGATTCATGTGTGAAAGCGGAATTGTAAGAAAGAATTAAACAGCACAAACCAGCGAACATTGGTTACGTGACTGATGAGATGGCCCGTCAATGTGGTGTCACTGTGCTGCGGTTACCGCCCTACCACTGTGAACTGAACCCAATAGAGCTCATCTGGGCTCAAGTGAAGGGTTATATTGCGCGCCATAACACAACCTTCAAATTACCAGACGTTAAGGTTTTACTTGAGACTTCCATACAGCTAGTAACGCCCGAAGCTTGACAGAATGCTATCCGTCATGTTGTGAAGGAAGAAACAAAAATGCGGCAGCTTGACCACCACATCGACACCATCATAGAGCCAGTTATAGTCAATTTCAACAAGGAAAGCGATAGCGACAGTTTATTACTGTCAGATATAAGTGGAAGCGACGATGAATAAAGGTAATTCCCAAATGTTTGACTTACAATATGTTTCAAACCACTAGCCGACTACTGGTAGTTAAGTGATGTTCACGTGAACATCGATGAGTCATTACAGTTTTAGATGGTTATAGTATAGATGAATGTAGTTTGACTCGGTTCATATTCCAAAACGTAGGGTGTTACAGGATGTTGTCAAGAAAACTTAAGGTCAGGTTCAGCACGTACATAAAAACATTGAAAGGTTCATACAGGGTGCGGCAGAGAGGACGGACGTTTTTGGGATGGGTAGTACTCTCCGCCTCCGTTTACGAGAGAGGTGGGGAGGGTGCTGTTTGACTCGTGAGATCCTAGCCTATCGTTAATAAGTAGATTGATGAAATGGGTCCTAATACTGTACCTTGAGGTACACCGTACGATACGATATGGGGTTCACTGAACGTATTATTAATTTTGCCGCACTGTATTCGATTTGACAAATAATTTTTCAGAAGTTTGTATGTTATGCCGCGGAAACCTGAATTTTCAAAAGGTGTTAAAAGCGATTCATGAGAAATAGAGTCGAATGTTTGCCGACATCGAGATCCTCGTATATTTTACTTGTTAATTCTACAGTAGCATCTTGAGTAGATTTGCATTCTTGAAAGCTATCAAGTTATATTTTTTTCAAAATTCCTTGAATCGTTTTTTAACACTTTTTCAAGTATACTAAGTGACATATAAATCCGAACACCCAGTTTAAGTGGTTTTATTTTAATAAAATTTTGTACAAGTACTTAATGAAGCATAATAAGTAAATGATAAAAATTTCAAAATGATTGCACTGCTTTAATGCCCTTTGACCTTTTTAATAATGTGTGGATGCACCCTGATGTGCTACGCATTCTCCAACGCGCCTAGGCATGCTTCTGATCAGGTGGTCCATGTCCTCCTGTGGTATCTCATTCCAGGCAACCACCAACTCCTCTCGAAGTGCTTCTGGAGTCTGAGGAGGACGTTGCAAATTGAGCAATCTCCTACCCATCATATCCCACACGTGCTCAATTGGGGATAAGTCGGGAGATCTTGGTGGCCATGGTAACAATGTGACATTATTATGTTGAAAGAAGTCTATTGTGACTCTTGCAACATGTGGTCGGGCATTATCTTGTTGGAAAGTTGGATCTGCCAGGGTGTCAAGATAGGGTAAAAGATGGGGTTCTAGAACTTCGTGGTTATAACGCTGCGCGTTCATGTTACCTCTGATGAAGATTAAGGGTGACCCCAAACCATAACTCCAACAGTGTGATGAACATGTCTTTCAACAAAAAACTGTGGATTCCTCCTTTCACCACGTCGCCTTCTAACCCTGGCAGGACCATCGTGCATGCGTAAACAAAATCGAGACTCGTCACTAAAGACAATACTGTTCCATTCCTGATCCCAGAGTGACCGTTGTCTGCACCACTCAAGGCGATTACGTCGGTGTTCTCGAGTTAAAGGGAGGACCCAGTGTGGCCGGTATGAAAACAAGCCAAAACTTCTCATTCGTCGGTAAACACTTCGCATGCCAATAGGTCTTCCGTGTTCTGCAAACCATTCATTTGCAATGGACCTGGTAGTGGAGAAACGGTCCCTTAAGGCCAATAATCTTAGGCGGCGATCTTCACGGTCTGTTGTTCTACGGCGGCGTCCAGTGCCCCTTGCTCTTTGCGTACGGCCTTCTCGAAGCCATGCCTGACAACACCTAACCACAGTGTCTACACTTCTTTGCACTCTAACTGCAATTGCCCGAAAAGAAAGTCCAGCTTCCCGAAGTCCCACTATACGGCCCCTATCAAACTCACTGAGTTGACGAAATCGTACAGGTCTCCGTACTCTAGGCATCGTAACCGATCGTAAAGGATGTCAAGAACCAAAATCCGCCAACGTTGATTCGTTACTGCGGCTGAAATATTCATTTTTAGAGCGTCAGTGAATTAAAAAAAAACAGTATAAAAACCGGAATGTCCAACTGATAAGGCTGAAAATTTTTTCACTTGTTATTTACAGTAAGATAAATACATTCACCAACTTTTATTAAAATAAAACGATTTAAACTGGGTGTTTGGATTTATATGTCACTTAGTATATTTTAGAAAATTTTGTTAAAATGGAAATTGGTCGATAGTTGTTGGGTTTTTTCTTTCTCCAGATTTGAGTAATGGTTTTGCCATAGCGTGTTTTAAACATGTAGGGAATATTCCTATAATATGATGCTATATTTCAGCGTTTTAAAAATGTTTGCACAAAACAAGGACGAGAAGAAAAGGATAGAATCAATTCTGCACTCATTGGGATTTTCAACAGGGAAGAACGATACCATCAATCCAGATACCTTCAATTTTGAAATGTTTTTCAATTTCTACATCCAGCTTACCAAACGGACTGAAGTCGAGAAGGTTTTCAATGAAATGTAAGTAATCTATAGTTTCGTGCCTCATGTATAGACAGGCTCGTACTCTACCTTCCATCTCGTTGGAGGTTATTTGTAATAATTTCTGTTGACCGTAAATACGAGAGCTGAATGTGACTTGGTGCTGTTTCCGGTGCTCTGGTGTATGAGTTTTCTGCGGCCCACTGCCCGATTCTGTGGATAGTTCACACGCAGAGTTGCGGTTTATTCTGTAGTGGGGTTGGTGTTTATTAGAAATCGTCCGCATTGGTGTTTTTTGTCGGAGCCTTTATCTCACCCTTTAGGGGATTTAACCGTGCAGAAAACTACAGTCAACGATCGAGCTGGTAAGTGACCATTTTCTCCAGGCCACATGTTCATTTCCTCAACATGATTTCTAATTCTATATAGGGCTCACCAAACGTGTTCTTGCGTGGGTAGGATTGCCAAAAATATAAAACAAAATTTATGGTTATCACGGCAGTTTCTAATTGAAGTCAAGGCGGGTGTTCCCCAAGGACCTTTTGAATGCTGTTTCTACACGAATTAATGACTTTCTCTCCTGGACAATGAACCTGGGCCAATCTGCGTGGATGAGCTGCGTGAAAAAAATTGGACTTTGTCGACTCGAAGGCGCATCAATCAGTACAGTTTAATGCTTAAAAAAAACAGTATTGTATACTTTATCTGAAGTCACTTGAAACACTGTGAAATACCGGGTGCGTTTTATATATCTATATTTAACACGCTCTGTTGCTGCAAAAATCGCCAAATTTCGCAGCAAATATATAAGAGATCAAAGGCAGTTTCACCGGTCCACGTGGAGTAAAGCACGCCTATGCGAGGACATAGCCAATGAGAAAGCGTGTATTTCAGAGCTCGGAACAAGTGCAGGTGGCTACTGAAAATTGAAACAGTTTAGCCAGTGCCGTGTAGCGGTGAATAAACGTGTTTTCTTTAGTCTGTCCGTGGTTTTTCATAGATTTTATTAGTTTGTGTGTTTTTGACTTTTGAATACCCAGTTTACTTGTTGATTTAATTGTTGTGTTGATTGTTCTTGTGTGTCCTAAATATGGCTCTTTGGAGACCTTGGGAAAATGCTCCAAGCCACGAGGAGATGGTTGATGAACCTGTGCAGGCAGAATTCTTTCATAAAGATTTAGAGGAACAGACCCAAAGAGTAATCCTAAATATGTATGATTGTCTGAAAAACGAAAATCCAGATTCCTCGCAAAATCAAATTTTAAACAGAATTTGTATCCTGACAAAAATCAGTCGGTCTACCATTTATCGGGTTATAAAAAGGGGAGATAGTCAACCATTCCTTCCACAGAAAGCGCATAGAGCAAAAATTAAAAAGAATAGACGTGGGTTTTCAGGAAGATATTCGTCGTATAATATACGGATTTTATAAAGAAAATTTGGTGCCCACGTTGGAAATGATACGGGATAAATTAAAAGATTATCCTGAAGATTTTTATAATTACAAATGCTTAGACTCACTGCACTGTATTGTAAAACTGTGTGGTTTTCAATACAAAAAAATAGATAAAAGAATGGTGATTATGGAGTCGTCTCGAATCGTTGAATTGCGCCAAGAATTTTTGCACAAAGTTAAAATCTATAGAGAGCAGAAAAGAAATCTGATTTACCTGGATGAAACGTGGTATGATACCCATGATGTTGTGCAGTACGGCTGGGTTGACGACAGCAACAAGTGCATTTTAAATGCACCATGCAACCGTGGAAAACGAATCATTATTCTCCATGCTGGCAGTGAAAATGGATTTATACCTAATGCCTTGCTGTTATCTGCCAAAAATATCAAAGAATCATGTGCCGACTATCATGAGGACATGACCTCCGACTTATTTGAAAAGTGGATAGAGCAGCAGTTAATACCAAACATTTCCCCAAATTCAGTGATTATTATGGACAATGCGCCATACCATTCCCGACAGAAAAACAAAATTCCTAATACAGGCACAAAAAAACAAGACATTATTGTTTTTATGAAGGATAAGGGAATGGAAATACCACAAAAATAAACCAAATCCATATTATTGGATCTTATTAAAAGACAAAAATTTGAAAAAGAGTATGTTGTTGACAATCTGCTTCAGCAAAATGGCCATGAAGTATTACGTCTACCTCCCTATTACTGCATTTTTAACCCGATTGAGTTGGTCTGGGCTGCTTTAAAAAAAAGTAAGAAAACATAATCAGACCCCTCAATTAAGTGAATCGCTATTGGCCACAATAAGAGATGCAGTATCTCATATTGCTGCCACAGACCTATGGAAGCAGTGTTCTAGGCATATTATTGAAAAAGAAAATGAATATTGTGTTTTGCCTCCTGTAAATCCCGTTGTAATTCCTCTACAAGATGACTCTAGCGACAGCTCCGAAGGCGAGGATGATATATAAATACCTATAATGTAAGTCTTTATATACCTTTTTATATACCTACCTGCTATGTAAATATTTGCCTATGTCAAACGTTGGAATTCTGTAATTTTTCCATTTCTTAACTTTCAGTCAACATAAATTAAACTCCCAATATAAGTATTTTTTATCCCAAATCAAAAAAATAAGAAGATAGTAAAATCCATTTATTGTAATATAAAAACATTATTATTATCGTTCTAAATAAATGCCGCACGCCTATGATACGTCATGAAATTACAAAAGACGCGCCGACCAAAGGTTTTTATGCTATTTCAAGTGAGTTCAGATACACCATACCTTGATCAACAATATGCGCCCAGACACATTCGATTTATGTGCAGGGTGTTTCTTAATGATGTAATATAATTCTTCTAAAATAAGTTAATGATGAAAAGTTTTTATGGATATATGTAACGTAGTGGCCTAAATTTTTAGCTACAGGTTTTGAATTCTTGAGAATATTTTTTATTTCGAAACTACTTCAGATATTTTTATGTTTGACGTGTATTAAGTTATAAAATGACATATTTCATTCTATTACGCCTCCGATGGCATCTTTGCAAACATATTCGTGATATTTTTTACAAAAAATTTGTCCGTATACTGATATTTTTCGAAGTGAATATTTTTTCTAGTTAACTTGATCATCCGGTTGTCGGGTGGCGGTACAATTCCGACAACGGGCCACTTTAGGTCTATTTAACATCACTAACAAGCAAAAAGAGGGTGGTAGACAAGGACCAGTCGACCGAGGCGGTACCACCCTTTTCCATGGTGTTTACGAATGTCCGCATGCTTCCGTACCTAACCTACGCAGTCGGTTTCACTTCACAAAAAAGAAATTAATGATGTTGGATCCCTCGAGTACTGAGAATTCCGGACGTAAACTCACTCCATCTCGGAATGTCCGAGTGGAGGGCAAACTCGAGGGACAATGTCGATGATAAAATCTATTTCACGAACAGCTGCAACATTGATACTGTGCCCAACTAGCTCGTCTCGCCATGCTTTTCTTGGCGCAGTCTGCACCGATTAACCATCTTTGCTTCGAAAATTACGAGGTGCACTCCAATCTGAGAAAGAACGGGGGAGTTGTGGCTTTTGTCCGCAGCAGATGACCAAAAACACATTCTGTGGCTTCGCCACAATGAGCTTTGGTTGGGCTCAAACAAGACTGATGCAGCAGGTCGTGCAGCTGAAGCGTTCGCCCTTACTCAAGGGCTGACCCAGCTGGTGACGAGCCCTACTTTTTTCCCCCGCGTCTTCTCACATGCCACTAGCCTGCTGGATATCTTTCTGACCACGCATCCTGTCCCTTACAGCACTGCTGTCCTGTCCCCCGTGGCTAACTCAGACCACGGTGTTGTGGAGGTTAGGCCCGCTGTGGCAGCAGAAACTGGCCCGGGCCGCAAATTTTCCCATTACGGACATGACGACTGGGAGAGGCTTAGAGACTTGTTCACACTGTCCGACTGATCGATGACTCTTCTGCAAGAGACGGTTTCGGGACCCTTTCGCACCGGCGGGCCATCTAGCTCTCTTCTACCGCTACACCAACGGGCTTTGCTCCTCAGAGCTCCCTTAGATGATGCCGCCGCGCGATGAGCCTGCCAGACAGACCCGCCTGACTTTGGCCTTCCATCTTGACCGTGTCGAACTTCGTACATCCTGAACTGACCGATACGACCGCTCCTTTGTCGGGTGTCGAGATTGTGGCACAATCTACAAGTGGAAGCTTTTCCCAGTTTTACTAACCTTAGGCAGTTCAATAACCGGATTAACAAAATTTCTTTGGGTTCCTCATAACAGCCGCGGTGTCCCGGCATTTAGACTTTTGCCTGCGCGGCTGCTTCGGTATAAACAAAACCTGCAGTTTAATCGCTCCGCCATGCTTTTTTAGGCGGAGACTAAAATTTGGAACAAGTTATGTGAGAAGGCTTTCCCAGTTAGACAGTTCAAAAATCGGATTAACAAAGTTTCTTCAAGCTCCTCGCCTCATTATATAGGCTTCACCCTGAGCGGCTGCTACGGTGCAGAAAAAATTAGTCATTAGGGAGGTGATAGACTACGAGCCTCTTCCTGCTCCAGTTGGCCCACTTCAAGATTTGTACCAAAATATGCCTTTATAAACTAAACAGGACGAAACTATTTACTTCTAAAACAATTTATTTTTAGATACACTCTAGTCGTGAAAAAATTGTTTGAAATCACTTAGACCTATAACTAATAGAACATCCGAACAAATAAACAATGTGCGAATAAATGCGCGAGGTTAACAAAGCAACAGTTGAAAGATTACCATTGGGTAACATCACCTTTATTTTTTATTACGGCTGAAATTCTTTGGGGCATAGTGTTAACCAAGTTTTGGGAAAAATTTGGTGTAAAACAATCCCATATTTCTTGAAGCTTTTGTCTCAGTTCGGTGCTTGTACGCGCAGGATGTTGTCGTAGAACCTTTTTCATCTCGTGCCACAAAGTTTCAATAGGTGACAGATCTGGACTGCTAGAAATCCATTTCAAAAGTTGTACATTATTTTCTTCCATCCATTTTATAGCCTTTTTTGAGGTAT